TTTGGTGTTTGACGAAATCTCAGCACGGATTCAGAAGGCTCAACTGGCTTTTTCCAACTTGCGTCATTTATGGCGTAGGCGAGATATCCGTCTACCAACCAAAGGACGTGTTTACTGCGCAGCAGTTCGTTCCGTCCTACTTTATGGCAGTGAAACATGACCGGTAAGAGTAGAGGATATCCATAGGTTACTAGTATTTGATCATAGGTGTCTTCGAAACATTGCTTGTATATCCTGGGACCATCGAGTAAGTAACTCAGTTGTTAGGAAACGGGTACTAGGTAAGGATGGAAAATCAATCGATGAAGTAGTGAAACTTCATCAGCTGAGATGGCTGGGACATGTGTTACGAATGCTCAACCACCAACTGCCTCGACGTGCGATGTTTTCTGGTGTAGGAGTAGGTTGGAAGAAAGCTACAGGCGACCAGACCAAAACATGGCACAAGTCCATGAAGTCACTGACAAGTGGTCTGAGTCATGTCGGTAGGTGTAGACTACCTGGCTGGGGACCGCGAGATGATAGCAACCGATGGTTAGAGACCCTGAATGAGATGGCTCAAAATCGTTTGCAATGGCGCAGGTGCATCCACTCTTTGTGTTCTCCCAAATTTTGATCTCCTTATTCCTCCTTGTCTCTTATTTTTTTCTCTTCCCAAATTTATCTCACTGTATTATACTCTTTAAGTAACATCTCCAAACACTAATCTTCCCGATTACTGCTTATACTCTTATTACCTCTACCACTACGGGATTTGAATCGACCACTGCATCTCTGTGCTAACGTGGTGTGGCAACTCGAACTGATGTACGTACGTACGAAGTTCTACGTTGTTACTGACTGACTGATCACAACTGAATGTAAGTAGAGACAAATTAGTACCGCTGACTTATCTAAGAAAATTTCAATGTGCGGATATTATGGTTGAATATTAGTGTGAGGTTAATTTGACAGAGTTGTTCTGTTCTTTATCTTAATAATAAATCTGCCAACAACAGCTTTTGACTGAGCCTCAAAATATCGCTACGAATGTTATATTAAAGACAGCTGTTTGATTTAGTGCGTGACTATGCCTATAATAGATGACGAATATAATGTACTGAACGGAATGTAGAGCAATGGTAAGTATTGATTATCTTTCCAAAATATGAACCCATAGAAGTTGATGCATTCAGACAACGTAAGTTGCGATTCGCTAAAGAAAGAAGATAGACATGACCTTGCGTGCTATGTATTATAATGGATTAATTTCATAATCTAATTGATTTTCTTTCACTCTGCATACGTGTCAATATACTTTTGTCTTCGACATCTGATTTTCAATTAACGCTAGGTTAAAAGTAACTATGGTTACGTGATTCTATCCCTCTTCTAAATAGTAATTAAACTCCACTAGGTTATAAATTATTACTTTTCACATTGCAACCTAAACAATATGACAAGTGTTTATCATATTTTTGGATAGTGATTAGCATAGAACTTACTAACTGAAGGTGTCTACATCCCAGTGCTGATGCACACATTGAAATTCGAACACACTTGATGACTAATAAATAGGGTTACTGAATTCGACTCCCAACCACCGTTTACAACATAACAGACTGTTAAATGAAGGTAATATCGAGGCAACTGCTTAAGGAGCTAATAGCCCAATACAGACTGACCAAATTCAGTTTTGAACATTAATAACAAGAAAGTAAAAACCCTCATAAGTGCTGACACGACAGTCATATGGACAAATTCATTAACCCTGAATACTATAGACCTATCAGTAATTGAACTAAAAATTGTGGTGAAAATTATGCTCTTCTAACAGCAAACATGAACAAAAAAAAATCAATGTTAACGACTCAAATGGAATTTAATTTTAACAAGAAACACACATAAGTCGAAATACAAAGTGCTATTCAACTAATGATAATTACATTTCTATAATTAAAAGGAATTATATATGAAACGAAAAATAACGTAAATAGAAGTATAATAGACCCAAACTGTGAAAGGTAAAAGCTTAACTATTAAAATTTTAATTCCCCTTATTTATGAATACTATCTTCACCGGTGTTACAACGTAAAAAACTAAGAGCGCGTCATAAAAACAGAATAAGTGCTGAACAAAACAAATCAAAATCAAACACTATTTTGCCTTTCAACACAGCCTACAGATGTAGACTGCGTGAAAGATAACAGGAACAAAGTTAATAATAAATTCACCGAACTACTGTTGTACGAATTTATAAAAGCCAACTATTATTATTCTTAGTACATGTACTTTCAGTGAATATCATTTCGATGAATTTTGTCTTAAGCAATCATCTGTAATCGTAGTTACGTACTGATGACATCAGTCTGCTTTTGTTCCATTATTATGACTTGTTATTGTTATCCGTTCTGTTACCGTAAGTTTATATGAATAGAACTTAAGGAATCAATCGCGGTGTCATTTCTGTGTGGTGCATCAGAAAGAACTATCTCATCTCTGTGGAAAAAACTAAGACAGAATTAGGGAAACACAATCTATCATCTACATTTTTGTAACCTACATGCTTAATGTTTTCTTTATTGGTCCAGTCTTCCTAAGTTTAGCTGAGGCCTAAGAAGCTATTGATTATCGAAATATGATACAGTACTCTGTCGAAAACTCATTATTAATACTACTGCTGCATTGTTATGCCTGCATTTGTTTGCGAAACCGTGTTATACACGATAGTTTCATTTGACACATTTCTGACATAAACGGGAGCACTGACTCTTAACTGATGTGAATAACCGAACGAAACGTTTTGATGTTCAAACTATTTCACTTACCTAATTTAGATGTACTACTTTCGTACTGTTATGTCCTAGTGAAGATTACATTACGAGTAACGTCTGAGACTTATTAATGGACTATTATTATTTATATATTCTCATGGTATAAATATTCGGTAACCAGATTATGCATATCGATATTCCCCTTGTTATAAGCATTATCTTGACCTATAATTTATTATTGTACGATTTACGATTCAGTTAATTGACTACTGCCTCCCACGTTCACAGTCAATTTTTGGCTTTATTGTGTACAATGTTATTTCAGTCAGTCAGTCAGTAACAACGTAGAACTTCGTACGTACGTACATCAGTTCGAGTTGCCACACCACGTTAGCACAGAGATGCAGTGGTCGATTCAAATCCCGTAGTGGTAGAGGTAATAAGAGTATAAGCAGTAATCGGGAAGATTAGTGTTTGGAGATGTTACTTAAAGAGTATAATACAGTGAGATAAATTTGGGAAGAGAAAAAAAAAGAGACAAGGAGGAATAAGGAGATCAAAATTTGGGAGAACACAAAGAGTGGATGCACCTGCGCCATTGCAAACGATTTTGAGCCATCTCATTCAGGGTCTCTAACCATCGGTTGCTATCATCTCGCGGTCCCCAGCCAGGTAGTCTACACCTACCGACATGACTCAGACCACTTGTCAGTGACTTCATGGACTTGTGCCATGTTTTGGTCTGGTCGCCTGTAGCTTTCTTCCAACCTACTCCTACACCAGAAAACATCGCACGTCGAGGCAGTTGGTGGTTGGGCATACGTAACACGTGTCCAAGTCATAAACGATTCTTGTCTTTTGTATAAAGTGTAGGATTTGTTTTCTTCATTGGTTTCTATTATAAGCACTCTCTATAATATTGTCGAATCTGTGTCCTAGCATAACAAGTAAAACTTTGTCTTTCGTATATTGTGTTTCTGAAACGTAAATTAACGTAATTAATCTAAGAATATTTGATTAATAAGTATATCAAAATCAAGAATGGTCAAACTCGGTGAACAATTATGGGAAGTGCAACAAAATGAGTAATTATGAATAACAGTCATGCTTATGAAAAGAGCATTATTAAATAAGGGAAAGAGTTACAAAGGTCAGACTAAGTAGGAGTGGAGAACAGTTGGAGTAAAATCCGATAAGTCACTTCACTTATAGACATAGCTAACATAACACCCGACATTATCCATGTGAAGTTAATCATTCGTCCGTAACTATGCCAGTTGTGAATAAAAAGTCTTATAGTTAAAAATGTAGAAATGATTAAAAGATTTCGAATACTAAACGTTGTTTTGTGATCGATGAAACTTCGAAACATTCACAAGTTTATTACGCTTACCTGGTGTTTTATATCGAACATCGCCATTGATCGCTCATTAGTTTATGTATGCTTCTGTAATAGAGTGCTCACAATTTACACCTATCCTGTATTTCTTAAGAGGTTACTCAACCGAAAGCAATATAATACATTATAACTAATCTGAAAACACCAGCTGTTTGACACCGCTGAATCTCAAATAATGTTAAATTTTCCAAAATCAACGTACGAATCCATTTTTGTAGTGACTACTTGGATCTTCTTATTGATGTTTAAGACTGCAATTGGTCAGTGGAATCCGCGTACGTTTTGCCCCATTTGTGAGTCATCAGCTTGATGTTTCTCCTTCCCAGAGTTGATGTCCACTCCGGGACTCGGACCCAGTGCCGTTCGGTTCAAACGTCATCGCGTTACCCACTTAGATGCTGAGTCCAAATGGGACGAGACGTTGATCTTGGTTTCCACTGCTAATCACCATCATCTTTGCTTATCAACATATGAATGTTATCAAACTGAGCTCGTTTGATTTCTCGTTGATCTATTTCGTATCTGGTTCTCAGTTACTGGATACACTCGCTTTTCGAGAACATTCTTTGAAATTACTTCACACGTGGTAGTTAGTCCTATCCTGTCACAAAAACCAATGCCAGATTTCAAGCGTCTAGTTAATATGAATATATAAACAACTTTGGATGATTTCGCATTTTTAACACGTTCCCGATCGACAAAGCATGTAATTTAACTTCAATTGTAGTCAGTCCCGAAAAAAAAATTTTTGTCCACGATAAAGTGCTTTATTATTTGTGTTGGAAGTGTATTTTTTCAACCTTTACTGGCAAAAAACATTCATTTCTTTCTTCCATTCTATTTCTAGGATGTTGAAAACTCAATCCGCTCAACGCTCAATGAAGTATATTTCGGTACAACCAAGAATATTGTTGACTCATTACGTTCTATCGTACCTGCTTCAGAAGAGGAAAAACGTCGGCGCTTAGTTCAAGAAGTACACACAGCCTTACAAAATAAGTCCCAGTCATAGATACGTTTAATCTCATCACATTTAGCTCTAACATGCGCTAATAACTTTTTGATTTTTTTCTTAAATACTGAATATCTAAAGAATGCTCAGTATTTCTTTTAAGTGATTACCATCCCTCTTTTATGCGCTATTCAGTTGCGTGGTTTTATTTGTGGTATTTGTAAACTTCAGAGTATCTGGGACTTACAAAACTTTTTCCATTGTTAGAAAAACTTCACATCGGTTATTCTCATATATGTCGCTTTTTTATAATATCATTCCTGTTAACAATATTTTTTGAAGTCAACTTTAAAGATAACCTCAAATACGTATATTTCATAATTCTACTTTAGTATTCTCACTGTGCAAAACAGAATTATCACTGACCCTTCCTTTTGTTAACGGTGGTTGGTGATAATCTGTTTTTAAAACTGTTATTGACTTTATTGCACAATTGGAGTTGAGAAACTATCAGACTAATCAAGTTCCACTAAACTTTGTTTATTTGTTTTATGTGCTTAGTTTTGATATACCTATAGTTATTGTCTTGTATTGACATTGTGAGGGTTTCCAAGGTGTTTTCATCACAGTATTTTGAATAAAACTGATCTTTAACGTTGTCAGACTATTGCCAGTGGGGCGCACATCTGCTTCTCACTTCACCATGTTTTTCGAGGAATTTGGTTGTTTTAAGGTATTGATTCCCGTATTCAATATTATGGGAGATATCGTTGATCGATGGCTTCAGTCTATTCAGTACATTTGCTTATTTAACCGTAACTTTGTGTTTTCAGATCACAGCTTTTGCGACTGGCTTATTACAGATAAAGATCGACATCATCAGTGAGACAACTCTATCAGCGTATATCTTTCCAGGTGCCTTAAACGCATGTAAAAATGTGTCATTTAATGGGAGACATCTGTTGGGGGCCTCCTCGAGTTGAGCGGGGATAGTATCTCACAACTTATATCTAAGTCAAACCTCGTGTTAATGCGTAACATTGGTTACTCTTCCGTTGCATCTAGGTATTGTAACTACCTTGACGATCGTATAGGAAGAACATACCAATATTGCAGAATTATGTTATTAAGAATAAGTGGAAGGAAAGGATTGCTACCACTGATATCTGGGCCTGTTCATGGTGTGCCACTGGTCTGTGCGTGTCACTTGTCATTGGCGAGGGTTGGGAGATTGTTTGACATCCAGTGACGTGACTGCAGGGTGATTTGGCTGTGGTTTACTGATATTTCATATTTGAATACTATAATTTTCTCATTCAAGTGTATGAGTTTACTTTAAATGACCGTCCGCCTATTTGTAAACCTAATAAATGTTGGATTGAACAAACTCCTTATAGTTCGTGAAATAGCATAACACCCTTCATATTGATCCAAGTTTAAAAGAACCTGTTAACAACGTATGAAAGTCAAGCTCGAGTATTTAATGAAATCAAATGTTTTACGCATACCTCTGCTAAAACTGCTTCACTGGAGTAAACAGATCTGAAAGAAACAAGTTGGAAGCCTGAAACATTTCACGATTAGTATGTGTTCCAGAAATAGCTTCAAGATGATCTTCATTACTATAAATAAGGGGGATTAAATATATTACAGACAGCTGCTAAGCTTGCTTGTGGCCTATGTAGGATTGATGAAATTGTCAGAAAACTAGTTAACTATCTGCAATTGGCCACAAGAAAAGCAACCTTTGTGCTCGTCTGATTCTCCAAGACTTAACATGCATTATTTCAGGAATTGCCAGTTCATACAATAATCCGAATACATCTAGTTATCACATTGGCGTTGCAATGGAGACTAATGAAACAACTGAACATACATCCAAATTCCGAAGCTTCGAAGATTACAAAGAACGGTTCGAAGTTTGCAGTTTGATCAGAAAATATGTGAAGAATGATAAAATTGTCGCTCATTTCCTCACATTCATTGGAAAGGATACCTGCTGTTTATTAAAATCTTTGGCACTTCCAGAAAAACCTATTTCACTTTCTTATGCAACTGTCAAGGAACTGCTATTAAACCGTGTAAAATGTACTGGTTTCGAATGTCTTGAGCGAAATTCCATATGATGATTCGTCAGAACATCCAAAAGGTCAGGGAATTTATCCTTGGGTTACAAAACAAGCTGCCAGATGCATATATCATCCTTATTTACAGAGTCCAATAATGCACTCCATATTCAAGAACGATTGTATCTGTCGAGTGGTGCTTTTCATGATTTTATTGTTGACACTGGCATTATCAAGTCCATCATTTTGACTGGTAAGTTGAAGTCGTTAAATCCTAATGCTATAAATTATACCCACCAAAGTTTCCATTTAAAGTACTACTGGTCGAAAACTTTCTATTCTGGGATGTAATCTTTCAATCAGAAATGACAAATCTTCAATTATAAATCTTGAATTTCTCATTACTGAGCGTGAACCGTTTATATTAGGCCTACAAAATTTAAGAATGCTTTAGGTTCAGCTTTCCTTATTGACCGATGAGAATGGCTATAATTGTGTGCTTGGTAACATGCGAATTACGGGACCAAAGGGGCAAAACAGGTCAATAAGTCTGTGGTCCACATGCGAGATGGTCACAATCCCCGAGTTCATTACAAGGGTCCAGATGAGCCCTTTCCCATTTCAGTTGTTAAGGCTTTTAGTAATGAGCATGTTCCAGACCAGACAGAGTCTGTATCTAGTACACAGTCTGACAGACATACAATGAGCCTGAGGAGAAAACTTTCAATTGATTACAGGAACTGAGATTCCACTTTAAGCTGTGACAGTTGTTATGTTTGTATGAACTAATGATTCTTTTGTACTTAATATATATCTGATTTTGGATTATAAACACAATATGTTCGTTTGTACTCACCTAGTTCTACAAGACCCAAATTGCGTTATTTTATGGATTCATGTAATAATCCGAATACTTCACAAGGCGTATGAGCCAACTCCATTTAATCAAACGTTAGTCAATATTCACAGTCACACAAAAATAAGCTGCAGACATGCGATGAGTGGGATAAGATATACACACACATGTGCTCATATAAAAAGTCAGGATTGATAAGTGAATAATTAACAAGGTCAAAATCTAGCTTGAGAAGAATGCATAAATCGGCCTGTCCAGAAGCTAGAGTATGTTATATGGACTAAACATATTATCCGACATTGCATGATAATTAAAGTTGGGTCACTGAATTTCGAACAGTTCTTCGATTCTCGTAATTATCCAGGGCAACCAACGCGCACCAATTGACTGCACGCTATGTACTGGCCCATGCACTGCTGGTCTCAAGTCCTTCATTGTAATGCTTTTACTACTATATTTCTGTAGTAACGCCTTTTGTGCATACGATCCTCAAAACAGCCGTAGTAACTTGATACGAAGAAGGAGCAATCTAAGTTAGGCGCCGACCGTGAGATGTGACTTCTAATTTATCTTTTGATGGCCATACAACACAGGTGACGTTATTGCAGAAATAAATTAGTAGGATAAGTACAAGGAACTGTGAGACCACCACCTGGGCCAGTTCAGTCAGTAGTATTTGACCATGACGAGGACCGGCGGACTGTTGACTTACGTGACGTGATTTGGCCAGGGACCACTGACATTTCACTGGTCCTATACAAGAATCGATAATTCGGTGTTAAAACCTGGATGCCATCCGTCTTTTATACTTGCCTGATATGTCTTGTGAGTTTGCCTGATCCAGTAGGGAGAAAAAGGGAAATATCAGGTCCAAAACCATTTCTCAGTATTATATACATCAAAATCAGATCACCTTCCAATCTGAGGTAAGACAGATTAAAGAGTTCTAGTTTCTTAAGTCTTCAGATAATCGTTCACATTTATCACAAGGCCCTTGTGAGTTCGGACGGCGGGCATGAACCCTTCTTTTATATTGTAGCTAGTTAGCTTTGTATAACAAATCGGCGAGTAGACAAACTTGTTTGAGTTAATATGCATCAGCTATTCTTTAGACCAGCTGATCAAAACATCTGAGTCTTCCTGAAGTGCATATACATCTGCGTCTCCTGCTATTTTCACCAGATTCTTACATCATCAGCGTATAACATCATTGGCGACTCAACTATATACGGAGTTCATTTACATACAGTAGAACCCTTTAAGAGACTTAGGACAAAGCCTTGCATTACACCATTAAATACCGGTTTCCAGAAGTAGCATCTTCGATTAATTTTCGTCTTCCTTCTACGACCTAAAAATCTTTAATCCATTTAAGGAGAGGTCCGGCAAGCTCGAGATTTTCGATCTTCAAGAGTAGCTTACTTTTCGGCACCTTATTAAATGCTTTGCTGGAGTCTATATGGAAAACATTCACTGATTTTCCACTATCTAAAGCTCATTGCTTCCTTGATATAAGGAGATTCGTTGTTCGAGATAAATCATTTCTGAAACCATATTGTACTATGTTTGACAAGCTGTTTGTTTTCTCGAGTGCCATTATGGCTTTTTTGATTATTCTTTCTGATATTTTAACTACGACACCGGTGAGGCTGACAGGTTTGTAGTTTGGTGGAAGTTGTCTTGGTCCTGTTTTGCGAATTGGAGTAACAAGTGCATCCTTTTCGTCGGTAGATAACTCACCCGTGCCAACCGATAAATTGAATATCATGGTCAGTATTGCGGCAATATATTGTGCTATTTGTGTCAAGAGTTTAGTGTATAGTTCATCTGGTTTTATTGATTTTCGATAATGTAGTAAGAGGACTAAGATTATCAGAACTATATGATATAGTAGCGAAATCCATTTTGAACAATCTGATCACACATATACTTGTTAAGAACATTTATATATAAAAATAAAAGGTCAACTATACTTGAAATGGCGTAAGAGGGGTAAAGGGTAATAATAATAGTAATGATAATAATGTGAACACAATCTGAAACCTAATCACACTGATTAATAAGTCAATATTACCAGGGTAGATTTAAGGTGAGAACAAACTGTTTTTGAATACACAAAGAGGGATTGAATTTTTGTATGGCTAATGCTACACGCCCCTTTACATTTTATGGAACACAGAGAGAGCAATACAAACAATCTAATAAAGTGAGAGTAAAATCAAACATGAGACAGATTTCTGAAAGCGTTTTTAAAGCTTCAAAAGTGGTAGACTCTGGAAGAAATAGGCCCAGATATGTGTCACTGTAACCGAAAATTCAACATAAATAAATTTAAACGAAGCCTTCAAACCTTCGGATATAATCACCACTAAAAAGAAGGGTATCTCATAAAAACACCACGGAGATGACGTTTGAGCGAGTTTGAAAATTACAGAGAAATCACATTACTATGAGCACTAGGAAACCTTTTTAACATTGTTGTCGAACAGGAGATGAAAGACGATTATTTGAGACAACTATGTGATTCAACGAAGAATCTAGTAGGGAAACATAGTAAACTAGACAGACTAGTCAACAACAAGGAAGTGAAGATAATCACTGAGATTCAGGAACTGTGGAATAGGTGGGTAGAGCACCTTGAATATTGCTTGAATAGATCAGACACACTGAACTCACCACACATCGAAGCAACACATACAGACTTTTCCATAAATGTCACCCCACCAACCGTCGGAGAAGTCAGCATGATCATCAAACAGATCGAGTGTGGGAGAGTAGGAGGACCAGACGGCATACTAGCTGACGCACTGAAACCAGACAGAAAATTAATTCCGAAGGTGCTCCACATTCTATTCATAGGGATTTGGCGGGAAGAGTAAGTGCCACCGACACACTGGAATGAAGGGTTACTCATCAAGATACGATGGAGAGATCTGAGCAAGTGTGAGAACTACAGAGAAATCACACTGCTGTCATTATTGGGGAACGTTTTCAACAGAGTGTTGGCGAGCAGGATGAGATTTAGTAGATACCCGACCTCGAGATCAGCAGACTGGATTCTGTAAGGATTGATCGTGTGTTGACTCCTTCGAGACACAATGGATCGTCGATGAGCACTCGATTGAATGGGACTCGTAACTATACGTCAAATTCCTTGAATATGAGAAAGCGTTTGACAGTGTGAATAAGAGAACTTAATGGAGCCATCTTTGACACTATGGCGTACTTGGGAAAATTGTCAACATCATACGGAATTCACAAGACGGACTACACTGAAATGCTGTGCATAGAGGATAGCTGACAGATGCATCCCAAGTGAGGATCGGTGTCAGACAAGACTGTATACTCTTGCCTTTCCTCTTTTGTTTGATCATTATCCGGATGACGAAGAAGCCCATATCCCATGGGAAGCACGGAGTACAATGGACATCTTGGATGAAACTACATGATTTGGAATTAATGGGTGATCAAGTTTCTCTATCTCATACACAGCAATAAATCCGAGTGAAGACAGTCAATGTAGTATCAGGCTTTACAAGAGTAGGTCTCAATATACGCAAGGAAACTAGCGAGATCCCAAAATACAATACAGAGATCGAAAGCACGATCACACTTGATGGAGAAGCAATGGAAGGAGTGGAAAGTTCAATGTACCTGGACAGCATAATCGATAAACAGAGAGGACTGACGCAGATGTGAAGGCAATGATTGTCAAAGCATGGGCAGCATTCCTTCAGGGGAAGAACATATGGAACTAAAAACGAATGTCATTCAACATCAAAGTCAGAACTGTCAAGGCAGTTCTACTGTGTGACGCTGAGACTTGGAGAACGACTACGACAATGATCAAAACAGTACAGTTATTTATAAAAAATTGTCTACGTAAGATACTCAATTTCTGTCGACCGAATAACATCAGCAACAACCTATTGTGGGGAAATACATACCAGCTTCCAGCTGGGGAGAAAATCATGGCAAAATGCTGGATGGGGATGTGACATCTATTTCGGAAATCATCAATCTGTATCACGAGTCAAGTGCTAACTTGGTATCCTGAAGGGAAAAGGAAAAGCGGAAAACAAATGAACACGTGGCGTCTCGAACTGGAAGCAGACGTGAAAAGAATGAATATCAACTGGAAAGGACTGACCAGAATAGTGCTGGGTAGAAAATGCTTGTCCGAAGCCTATGCTGCCTCACGAGAGGTAACAGGAGAATGTAAGTATAAAATTGAACGCTACATTCGTTAAACACGCTTCGCCGCACACTCCCTCAGCACCCAAGATTCCTTCGGGCTGGGTGCGAATCGCTCAATATTTCAAGAGAAAGCTGGTTATGATTTAATTTTCAAAATTAATGAGAGGGGATACAAGTGTTTATTCTATCATTCCCCTTTGTATTGTTAACTCGATCTTTCGATTTTTAGGGGGATAAAACAGGGGTCTAGCCTTTTAATCATAAAGAACAGGACTTCAAGAGGCTAACAATCAGCCATTTCTGCTCAAGTTTTACCTCAACACAATATCGACATTGTCTGACGGTTATAGTCGCGCGGAAGACTTAAATGTGGCTGGTGTAACGGTATTAATGATCACTACATGTGAAGTTACTAATGTGGGTTTGTTTTCCTAATTGCAGGCCAGAAAAGAATGAACGTACTGGAAGAAGAGGAACAGGTCCTACGCAAGCTGGACCTGTAGAACAATGAATAAATCCACTTTGTAATAAGTTTCCCTTTTTGTACTCTAACCGCGTCTTTCAATTTTTAAATATATGTCTGTTGTGCCAGTACGTCGCGTTCTTACTTCAGTGGCGTTTACCGGTCCTGATTGTTGTGTTGTGTTTTAGATCTCTATTGCTTCCAAGTGAACGCTAATAGTACGTGCTACACTGGTGAGATACTGACGACATTGACGTGAAAATTATTGGATAATTTTTTTGGATTGATACATTTAGTTGAGCAGTTGCAAGTAGTTAGGAGCTAATTGAGCTGAGATTATGTACACGCATCTCAGCGGGGTTTACTCCAGCGGCAATTGATTGCCGTTCCAGGCATATGATTGGGTTGCTCATTACAGCTGTCATTAGGTTTGTTCGGTGAGGAGCGTAATTTTTGTTTAGAAGTCATCGATTAGTTGGTTGGTTAGATCACTGATATTGATTATGATTACCCCAAAACTTGTAAATTTCGGTGATTTGATCAAAGTTATTCTACTTCACGTTTTCATGTTTCCTATCTTTGGTTTTAATAATTAAAGTTCGTGGTTGCGATAAGTGTGTCCAGTTTGGTTGTTGGGTATAGTGCGACTTTCATAAACTGCATTTGTTTGAACTGTAACATGTCATAGCTCAAATCATTACCCACTAAATATGTAGTGTCATACGACTTTGTCATCCTTTGGATGTTATCTCTGGTCCAAATGTCACTCCTAGATAGCCTGCGTTGTTTGATTGTATGTTTTTTGTAACGAGTTTGTACAAGTCTATATTTGTCTTGATGTCAGGTGATGGTCCAAAGTCTTTACACGAGTTTGTCCACCGAACCAATTATTCATTCGAATATATTCTGACGATAGTCCTAGTGAACTTTAATTGTACTTCGGTACTACGTAAGTAAGAAATTAAACAAAATATCCATATATATATATATATATATATATATATATATATATATATCAAGTTTTCGAAATTATTGTGAGCACTACCATGTGAAAGATTTATAAAGCAATTAGTCCCTTTGATAAATTTCTATAATGTAATAAGAAAATGAAGATTATCAGAATTAGGTGATATATTAGCGCAATACATTTCGGACAGTCTGATCATGTAGGGAAAGACGCCGGTCAATGACAGTGTCTCGAATCATCCGTCACAGTTATTTGCCATTTCTCGTTAAGAAGTCTCAGTAATAGATGCAGACTACAAAGTTTGTATCGAATCAGCGACTAAACTTTTACTATATTACATATGTAATATAGTAAAAGCTTATAGGATATCCTGTAAACTTTCCCTTATCTATAGTTTGATGTTTTTCAATATTACTTGTAGTCTAATTAAATTTAATACTTATGGTGAACCGATGAAAACCAGCTTCTTAGCGCCAGCGAAAGTTTTTGGCTGTCGTTTACTACGGTTATCTAGTTAAATTCGTGCCACGGTCTGCGTCTATTTCAAGTGAAGTTAATTGATTATGAGGTTTTAAAGTTCGATAATTTAAACACGTTTAAAGTACTTGACAGGTTCAGAATCTAGGTAGTTGGTTTTGGAGATCAAATTAGTCAAGTTTGTTTTTGTCAGACTTGGGTTGCAGCACCATGAAAAACTTAAGAACAAATGACTTTCGCTTCAGTCGGTTACTCTTCAGGGCCGCCCACTGGTTATTCTACCAGGGATTAGGACTAGTACCTCCAGGTGTTGAAGCGAGCTTATTTTCTTTAGACCTCTGGGTTGGAATTCTGTGGTTTACATTTCGGAATTATATCAGCTCTAGGTTTAGCACGTTGATGATGCCTTTTGCACTTGCTTAGTGAAGACCTGTCACGACTTCTGACTAGACCTTCGGGAATTCGCCGAAGTTGGTCACTAATGCGCACACCATTATTGTTTAGTCCTAACCGGTTAGATTGTGACATAACTTCTGAGTCCAAACACAGCTTTGCGTGTATCAGATTGAGAATATAACATATCTTCATCTGATTAAATGCAATTCCAAACCCAGTACATAAGCATTTACTTAATTGCTGTATTTGACTATATTTTCAAGTTTAGATATACAAAAGCAAGAGTATGAGTTGGCATTTATTTTCAAACCTTAACTTTTGCAAACTGGAAATTTTAATCTTAGTTAACCTTGTATAATCAATCCTTTAATATTTCGTGTTTACACAGTCTTATTCAGATCCATTAAATGTATAATGGGGGATCAACTACTTTTCGAAAATCTTGACGAGAAGCTAGAGGATGAAGATGGATTTGTATGCATACTGATATGCACCAGATAACTTTTATTTTCTAGATTACTGCAAGTTGGTTATCTATCACTTTCGACTTGAATATAGATGCATCGAGACGGTAATTTATCTGGTTCTCAATATATATATATCTATATATATATATGTACGCATATTCGTTTAGTTTGATGGCGGCATATATCCAGGCACGTGACAACTTGTCATCTGTATATCTACTGACTGGGATCAATAAACAAAATGATATATTAGTTAAGTTGGCCAATTCAGACCAGTTATCACTGGCTCAGAAGTCGTTCTCGTTTCCTCCTAAATGTGTTGTGTATAGTATACAACGCCGACAATGCAAGGTGTTTCTGTTGATAAGTAAATTAATAATTGACTTTTAGGATTCTTTATCATTGGCTTGCTACGACTTATTGCATAATATTTCTACAGATCAATTAAAAAGGTTAGTTCACTTCTTTGAGACTGTTCAAATCTATAATACTTGCACTCGTGTATATTTTATGTACTGCTTTGTAACTGATTCTCTTTAGATTAACTAGTATTCCGTGGGAGTCATCTTCTGATCCACTGTCATGTCGAGAAAATCAAGAGACTGCACAGAAAGCACTGGAACATGCTGATTCTCCTGTGTTACCGAGTCTTGCTACCAGTAAGTTTCTGGAATTGCTCAACAAAATTAGGTGGATGCAATAAGAAAATTAAAACTTCAGATTTCAAAAATTTTTTCAGTAAGATTGAAAAGTCTGTTCAGGATGGTTAGTTAACTATTTGTTATATACTCATTTCTGTAGATAAAACGCTTGAAAATTATTTAGCAACAAGCACTAAAAATAACATGTACATCAGTATTAGTTTTCTTACTCTGTCTGTAATATTATTATTTTAGAATTCCTAAGCCAGTAGAAAGTGGGAAACTGGATGTATCGGACGAAGACGAAGAATTTGGTTTGAAAACTACATGTAACACCTCACCCAACTATACTTTTATGCGTATTTTTAGATTCTTCGCAAAAGCGGAAATGTATTGTCATTGAATCCGATGAAGAAAAAGAAGAGAGTAGTACAATGACTAAGGATTGCGTGTCTACTAATTTATTTAATTCTAAAGCAAGTACGAAACTTAGAAACAATGATATACAGAAAAAGCGACCTACTCGCAGAAAAGGTAATCAGATTTTTTTAATGGTAATTGCAGTTATTTAAACTTTTCTGTTGAGTATTCGACGTGTACTTCTGGCAAACGGTTTTAAAACATTTATGGGGGAGAGATACAATTTAGGTATATTGTTGTCGATTTTGAGCATCGTTTACGCGTATGAAGCAGAAGTAGTATAACTAAACTGTCTCACAGAATGTACTTTTCGAAGGTGGAATTTGCGCTCAATATATTATGGATTAGTATTGAGTTAGAAGTCTTAAGATGGGGTGGTTCAGACATGTTATTACTTAGAGACATTAGATTTTATTTGAGTCGTTTGGGGGGCTATAACCTTTGTGAGCATGGTTTAAAAAGTAGTAAAATCAGTAATTAATGAATTTTTGTGGTTTAAATGGACCCACTAGAATTGAACTGAGTGACGAAAAAGCCGAAATTAGATTCCAGGAAGCTGACCCAGATGTTGTTTGAAAAGATATACAGACAGCTGTGGAAATCGGAGTGACATCTATTAGTAGTTTAAACCACAGGGTTACAAAGAACCAATGGATTTCTTGAAGGTCTATTGCACTGATGGATTCTCGTAAACTCATCCCATCAGGCTCTGAACACGATGAAGAGCGAAAACAAATCCGATCTAGGTTAACGAAATGTCTAAGGAACGACCATGAGGAGTAGTAGGCAACGAAAGCAAAAGAGATGGAAAAAGGAGCGACTGTAGGTAACACCAGACAGCTTTTCAGACTAATAAAGGAAACTGTAATAAAGAAGTCAAGTGTAAGTGAGACTATCTCGGGAAAAGATGACACTTATCTACTCTCAGTCCAGACGTTTAGAACGATGGGTGGAACATTTTAGGGAGCAGTTCAGATGACCTTCAGCTACTCTACAACTACCCACCACTTCCAAACAGCCTGAATGGAACATTGGAGTAGGCCTCCCCGTCTCTAATTGCAATTCGAAAAGCTATAGCTAATCTGAAACGATGAAGAGCAGTTGGTGCAGATGGATTGGCTCCGGAGGTCTTTAAGTATGGTGGTTCAGTTTTAGTTATTAGGTTGGCTAATATTTCAGCTAAAATCTGGGAACTGAATGTAATCTCAACTGATTGGTCGCGATCACTGATTGTCCCAATATATAAGAAGGGATCAAAATCATCCTGTAACAACCACAGAGGGATTAGTTTGACTAATACAGCATCTAAAATGCCAGCCTCAATAATTATCGGACGCCTAACAAAGACTCGTGAACTGCAAACACGATAAAATCAGGTTAGCTTCATACCTGTTCGTGGCTGCATTGACCACATATTCACTATTCATCATATTTTAAACACAAACATATTTGCGTCCGACAATGATAGTTTTTCTTGACTTAAAAGCAGCGTTGGACTCTGTTGGCCGAGAGCTCCTGTGGCAGTGTCTGTCATTGAAAAGCATACCTCAGAAGTACATAAACCTTGTGAAGGCTCTTTACTCGAACACTACCAGTCGAGTCAGAGCTTATGGCGAACTCTCATCTGATTTTGCCACCTCAAGTGGTGTCCGGCAAGACTGTCCATTATCTGCATTTTCGTCCAATTTCATCATAGACCTATTGCTGGAGATAACTTCCTGTTCGATTAAATTTTCAGTAAATGATCTCCTTCCAGGGGGTCCACTTATCGACTTAGAATACGCAAATGACACAGTCCTGTTTGATGAAGACACAGACAAAATGCAGTCTGAGCACTGAGCAACAATACCAGGATGCTTTGAATGCGTTTCTCCCCCTGTAAATGCAAATTGTTGTTTCAGGACTGGCCTACATCAATACCTGAGCTAAGAATAGAGAGTGAAGTAGTCGGACGCGTCGTCAACTCCATTTATCTTAGAAGTCTTGTCAGCCCTTATGGGTTGGTGTCTGACGAAATCTCCACATGGATTTAGAAAGCTCGTTTGGCTTTTGCCAACTTACGTCACCTATGGCGAAGGCGAGATATCTATCTATCAATTAAGGGATGACTATACTTTCCAGCAGTTCGTTTTGTTCTACTTTACGTCTGCTAAACGTGGCCATTAAGAGTAGAGGATACTCGTAAGTTACTAGTATTTAATGACCGATGTCTTAGAAATATTGCTTGCATCTAGTGGGATCACCGGGTAAGTAATAGTGATGTTAGACGCAGGGTATTAGGGAATAATGGTAGATCAGTTGATGAGGTTGTGAATCTTCATCAAATGAGATGGTTGGGCCACGTGTTACGTATGCCTGAACACCGATTACCACGTCAAGCAATGGTGACTTGTGTTGGAGACGAATGGAAGGAAGTTAGGGGTGGCCAAACCAAAACGTGGCATCAGTGTTTGAAGTCACTAACTTCTGGCCTAGGCCATGTTGATTGATGCGGACTACTTGGTTGGGATCGGTGTGACTATTGCAACCAATGGTTGAATACTTTGGGTGATATGGCTCAGAATCGATCACGATGGCTTAGGTGTATATACTCTTTGTTTCCTCTTAGACCGTGAGATCGAAATCGCTTAATATCTTTCTACGAACTATTTCCTTCTTCCTTATATGAAATGTTTTTACTACCATTGAAGTAACTGCTTCTATGAATTTGGTGTTCATCTTGTTGTGCAAATGAGGTATGGTGACTTGGATCGATGCATATATGTGCCTGATCCTACATTGTAGATGACTTATTATTTGTTAATAACATGTAACTAGGGTGCCCGAATCGCACTGTTTAAATAAGTTAATAGGAATATATAATACAATCTATGAATAAATAAGGAGAAACATTATTGTATAAAGGATATAGTTCAGTTAAAAATATAGTCAAAACGGATTTTTCTCAGTTAAAGAAGTTCATTTCACTTTTTGTGACAAAAACTAAAACAGAATTGTCACTGGCTTATGTTCTGATTCGTATCTGACAATGTGTCAAGCTGCTAAGTTGCATCGTATCTAGGACCACAAGTGAGATGTTGTGATATAGCAACATATGACAGTCTTACATAGCTATATTTCATACCACAGTGCCATGTCATAAACTAACCCTTCCTTTTTTTCCACCGAGTCGCAGCGTCAAGAATTAATGCTCCATGTGAAAGCCGTTGGGTTCGCATGAAGTGTGCCCAAGCTGCCGAAGTCAGGGTTCTAGAATGATGAAATTAACTTGTCACCACTGCATCCGAGCACACCCTGGCCGAAGCCCGGAGTAACTGAATATATGAGCGCAATCCTTTTGCTGGGATAATGGTCGATTACACAGTCGCCAAATATTTCAATGTAAACAATAATCCTTCAGTATCATGGCTTTGATGCATAGTAGAGTATATAGACGTTTATAATCTTACATTATATGTTTTTAGTTCAAAGTTATTTGTTTTCATTCGCATTTTCAGATAAACTGAAAGTATTAGCTTCTGATTCAGAAGCTGATTCATTTTCCATGGAGCCTACACAATCTGAAAAATCACCCGACAATGTTAAAAAAATCGGTGTTAAAACTTTGTCAACACCGATTAAGTGTGAAGGAAATTCAAGAACTGAGAAATCTAGCTGTGCTGCTGGTTTAAATCGTATTCGTCACCAAGTAATGAAAACGTTTGCAGATGAAGATGGCTTTATGGGTAAAATAAACTTTTCTGAAACTATTGTTAATAGTGGACAATTATGTGGTTGATTTTACCACTAAAGTGTATGATTATTTAGTTTCTATTGTTATATCATCATACTGCACTAGTATTAAAAATAGAGTTCTTACAATAATGCTTTACAAGTGTGATATATATATTTTAGTTACGGAAAAAGGCTGGGAATGTTCATCAGATGATGAAACCTCTAAACCGACAACAGCACCCTCTCCTTCTTGTATGGATCAAAATGAGAAAAATGAACGGGTTGTTCAACCGAAAATTGATAATCCTGTATCTCTAACTGCACCACCAACGATTCAACAGACTGTAAGTAGGAATTATGGTCACTCTTTTTTTATTAACCTATCACTTTCAATAGAAAATTATTCAGTAATATTACATAAGATTTTTTGACCTTACTATAGCATTAGGTGATTTACTTCGTTACTATGTCATTGGAAAAAGCATCAAACTTTCCGATTATTATGATATATGGCTTCCATTAACAAATTAATATCTGAACAAGTGGGTTAAAAACGTATTTATTAAAAGTAGACAGTACTGGAAGAAAACAGGTGTTTGCTTTGTTAATCTCCTTAAAGCCGTAGTGAAACTCCTAGATAACCAAAGCTAGGTTTACACTTTTAGGTAATGTTAATAACTTAGTTTTCAAACACTTAGAATAAAATTCCTTGGCCATGGTGGATGTCTTGAAACTGCGAATCTCCAGGAAAAACAGTTAACCTTTACTTGAGTACGTTTTTGGTTTCTCGTCATTGAAAAGTTTGATGTCGTTTGTAGCTAATTACGCTTTTGGCTCTCCGGCAGTATCCCAAACGCTCACACAAATCGAATGCCGAATTTTAATGCCCCCTTGTACCAAATAAAGTTGCTAATTACATGCACTTTTATGCATTTATTAATCGAGTGTATGTAACATGGTTATCTATGATATCGATGGTTGAAAATACTCAAACAAGAATATTCTGAGTACTTACACTTGCATGTACTGTTCATCAAACTACGAACTTATTTAATTCTGGTCTGGGAATTTTAATTTGAAGTGTAGGTCTTCTAATAAGGGCCTTTCCGTATTACTTAGAAAATATAAACTAGTCATGAAGGATTTAAAGTCTCATTTTCAAACTTCTGAGAATAAAAAGGGAATAGCGCACAGCCAAGCGTTTTGTTTTGGTGGCTGTAAGATTAGATTTATGGTCATTATGATAACAATTTACTAGTGTACGGCACATAATTTAATGGCAGTATATTGCTGTTTTTACATTGATAATGTCTAGGAAACAAGCCTTTGTTATTTTTTAAATATCCTATTGGGAAATATTTTTGTTCAACTTGAACAGTTAGTGTGAATGAAGCTTTCAGCATTTTGGTATATAATTTCTACAGAAAATCTGCAACAACAGTTGTTAAACTCTGTTATTCCCATCTGAGGCTGTGAATCGACACATGAATGTGTAAATGTTTTCAACGAATACCAAAATTCTGGTTAATTTTTCATGAGATTTGGTTCCATTTAAAGTAAAATGTGGTGAATTCTGTTCAGATAATTCATACTACTTATAAGTAGCTAAGATTATCCACAACAATTGTTTCACAGTTCTTCACATTGTTTATTAATGTTGCTTCCATAGGTATGATATTCCAATTTTTAATGTTTTAATTCACTTTAATTTTACAGAAGCCACCCAAACAATCAAACAAAAAGAACACGAATAATAAGCCGGCAGCTAGTAAACAAGCTTCATTGTCATCATTTTTCAAGCCTAGTAATACTGTAAACTAATTACTTGGAGATTCAATTGTTAATTATTTTCTATGATTCTCTTATGGAATCTCTGTATAAAAACGATTTATTTAAAAAAAATTGGAGCATTTTCTGTGTATCGAACAATTAATTTCGTATTTATTTGGCGCAAAAGTTCAGATGCGGGTTGGTTGTGTGACTGAGTGATGCCTGTACACGAGACTGAATTATTAGCTCAACCCCTTGAATGAACTAATATCAAAGACAGGATCATCAGTCGGGAAAACAGGTTTTTATATGTAATAAAACAACATGCTTTTATACAAACTGCTGAAGATAAAAACAAGTATGATTAGAAATCATTTTGAAGATGATCGATTAGAAGATAATGATTTTGTAGATTACTTGGGCGCCATTAAAATTAAGATTAGCATGTCAATACAAACGGGATCGATAGTTACTCACCAGTATAATGTTCATTTTGCAATACTTATCTTTGCCTTGTAATTTTGTAGTAATCATTTGATACTGGACATATATAAACCCATAGTTTATATCACCAACCATTCTTTATATCGTCATCAGGCTTTACTCTAATATACATGAATATTTATACGAAAGTTTTAAACCAATCAAGGCAATATGAGTCAATAATCACAATGAAATAGAATAAGTCACTACACATAATAGGTAAAAGTACAAGTTGATAGTATGAAGACAGGTGAACTGATAATAGTGAGAATAATAAACTACAATAACAAAGCTCTTATCAATAGTTAATCGTTGGAAAGGATAAGTTACCTGAGTTGGCCTCTTCCATGTGCATTTACAAATTCAGCTGCTCCTGTGGAGATAGCTATATAGGGCGTACTACCAGGCAACTTAACCAACGAATGAGTGAACATCTACCAACTTGGTACATAAAGGGTCAGAGAAAAACCATTCGCAGTTCTATACTAGCACATCTTATTGATAGCGGTCATGCAGTAGATAAGTTGAAATCATTTCGAGTTATCTATCGTATACCTCCATCATTTCCCGACGGAGTCCGTTCCCGTCTCCTGTATATAGCTGAAGCCATTGGAATTCGTACATATAACCCCAATCTATGTGTACAGAAGAAATACGTGACTCCCCTATCCCTTCCATGGCCAGTTATAACTTAACTAACAATTTTTAAATTTTATTTTAAATTTTATTATTATCATTATTTATTTTATTCTATCTGTGTTATTGTTAACCTTATTTCCACATCCATTATTTGTTTGTCATTATCCGCCTCTTTGTATTCTTCACTATCTAATTATTTACACACTTCTTATTACGTAATGGTTTTTAATGTTTTGTGATTACTATTCCTAGTCTATTTACCCATGTTTATTTGACCTTCTATTTCCAACGATTAACTATTGATAAGAGCTTTGTTATTGTAGTTTATTATTCTCACTATTATCAGTTCACCTGTCTTCGTACTATCAACTTGTACTTTTACCTATTATGTGTAGTGACTTATTCTATTTCATTGTGATTATTGACTCATATTGCCTTGATTGGTTTAAAACTTTCGTATAAATATTCATGTATATTAGAGTAAAGCCTGATGACGATCTAATTGAAAACAATTGTTCGCTTATATGTGTTGTTCTAATTTTCACAATGGGAATCTTTAACATTCTTTATATCACATCTTAACGATTTTTCTACTTCATACTGAGCTTTATACAATTATTAATTAAAAAATGCAAAACAAAACAACCCTCTATTTAATAACAGCAGCTCACTGAAGTACTAATTAAGTATATCTAAAAATAGTATATTTCTAGCAAACTATGCATCAGATTAATCATCAACTGTCTATCAATTATATATTCATCAGTATTGATCAAAATAATTTGAAATGACCGCCAGACTTTAAATTGTCACTCTTTATGTTAGCTATAGCTGAGGATAATACATACTCGTAGAGAAACAGTGTACATGGAACCTGGAAAAAATTCGTGGATTCAAGTTGACTAGCACAGCAGTCAAATAATTAACTGCTGAGGAATTGGTTATCTTATTGGCGAAACACACAAGTTTACAAAATTAGCAGTAGCACTAGTATTCCATGAATAAAATAAGACAATAGGCATTTTATCAACAAATTACAAACAACTGTGTGATTGTAACTCTAGGTAATGAAGACTTGATCCCCTCTGAGTCTCAGTTTCTCGAAGTTGCATAAACTCCGTGCTACTGAGTGCCTATCGGTTACCTCTAATTGTAAAAATCAGTATACTTCTGTCTAATGATACCTCTCATTTAACAGATAGACTACATAGCTTTTTTAATGAGCTAGTATTTTATTCTCAGTAGTACGTAGACGCTTACTGTGCTTTACGTTACTGTCCGATTGTTTTCACTAAATTCTCTTTAACGGTCACTTTCTTCGTTCTTTTTAAAACTGTGCACCCTCCTTTGCATTGGATTCCCAGGGGGGGAGTCAGTAATTTCAGTGTATTAGGTGATTATTGTTGAAGGTTCATGTCTAGGTCAGTAGCCGTTTAAGACACGGATTCCAGGTTAGAATGAATGTAAGTAATTAAATTAGTAATAACCAATACTCCTGAAGTTTATGATGTTTACTGCATTTTTAGAAATGGAGTTTCACTCAAATGTTTGTAATACAGAGATCTATTATCGGGATGTGATGCGTCAATAGTGTACAGTTTTATGCTCTATGTGTGATACATTATAAGGTAAATAGTGTAAGTCAAATACATATGCATTTATTGCTATTTCAGAGTCCTCGGGTGTCGAAAAAATGTTAACACGATCACAAAAATCATAACTGGAAAGTTGATTTGATTCATATAAATATAAAAATCGTACATATTTCTTTACTAATGGCTGTATAGTGTTTATTAATGTAAAATAATGGTCAATATTTCAATCCGACTATTTGGCTAATAACAAACATTTATTCACCGTGACTAACTATTTGAGATATAAAACATATTTCTTAAAGGGATCTATTTGTATACACAGTGCTGAGTCTCATTTTCGTCAATTTGCTACGGACCTGGTATGTTTATGACAGCTAATAATTTCAGGAAAGGACCATGTACCTAGTACGCTGCCCCACAGTAGTCAACTGATAGAATCATAAATCAGTTGAAAATTTTATCACTGTTCAAGGATAATGTTGTGAAATAAGCTGCCAACATTAGTATAATTAACACTTTTCGTATTTGATAAATTTGCGGTTCTTTTTACACCTTCAATGTTTTCATAATTAACTTAATAATCATCCCCGTCAATGTAATAATAAGGTTATCTATAGTGTGCTAAGCTTCAGATTTGAATGAGATCATATTTAAAATAATTGTACCAAAGACTTAGTATCTCAGTAAGAATATGGCTTGTTTTGATTAAACTCTAGACTATCTCCTATCTAACTTGAAATATCAATTAATAAGAGAAAGTTCATCGAAATTTCCAAATTAAGAAATTATTCTCATAAAAGTTGTACAGGAAATATATTTATGTATTGTGACAATATGATATTCAAAATACACAATAATTTATAAATATACAATTGATTATATTCTTAATCCAATATCAATAAAAATAAATGAAAGTAAAACAAACAGCTATTCTTTACTATTGAACAGTGAACAAATAAGTAAGATATGTTATTATCTCCTTAATGGTAAGCATATAGGCTATAAGGAATAAACAAAGGAAATGTGGAATCACGACATTTAATAATCACATTAACATAAAAGATGCACTGCTATATATGTGTTTTGACGTAGCTTACAACTCCATAAGGGATTTAACCAGAACAATGAACTACACATTTGGCAGAAAATTCAAAGTGAGTGTAAAGAGGAACGGGGTTAGGAAAGGTGATGAGAATAGAAAAAATAGAACAATTATTTAAAAAATGCGCGATCATGAAAGACAAATGGCGGAATATTGAACAAATTTTTCTTCGGGGAGGGGAGAATTTATTTAGTTATTGATTGATAGGATCAATTAATGGCAAAATTAAATGGCGCAGTGACAAAAAACATGTGACAAAATTATTCACAATGGCAATATGCATTTGAGCACATTTGATAATGAAAAATAACAATAAGCTGATGAAAAACAATCAATTTTTTTCTAGAAATAAACAATTGTTAATAAATGTTCATGACCATAATTCAACAGTACAATGTTTATTAGAGCTTTTACTTGTTAATTTATAGTGTTTAGCATATTCAATTGTAGTCCTGTTAGGCTGTGGATTGTGATTTTTACCATGATAATTTGTGTTATTGTTAGTTTTTATATATGCTGCTGACGATGATGATGGTGAACTGTTTAAACTATTACTATAGTTACTACTATTGTTGTCATTATTATTCTCATTATGAATAGTTGGTGTACAAATAAATTCTAATAATTCATAATGTTTATTATTTGATAAATGAAAGGAAGAATAATTTATCGATTCATAAAAGTTGAAATTTTTTGGTAGAGTTACATCTGTGGGAAATGAAAACGGCAGAAAAGAGTAAATTAAAGAAACAAAATGTTATAGTTTTACATTTATCGACTATTCATTAGATAGTAACTGTTCAGTAATGAAGATGAAAATCCAGTCACTAATTTTAAGAGATACAATATAGTGTTACATTGCTATTAGAGTGTAACGATTGTTAGTTGTAATCCGACAGGTTATTTGTGAGTGTAGACTATACTTTTTAAAACACTTATCAAAAAGACATTTTTAGGACCAGGGATGCGTATACCCTTTGTTACATTGAATATTTTCAGATTCGAAAGAGCTGCTAAGCGTAAAATTTAGATCACAGACGTTTTATCCGCCAGTTTTAAGCATTATACAACCAGAGCAGTTTAATAAGAATGCAGACACTTGATGATTATTTCTAAATACACATCAAACTAACAAAGTCAGTAGAAAATAATGATACTGCACAGGGAACGTAGGTAGGTTAAAATACAAAGCAGTAAACAATTTTCTACACAATTTATACCTACCACTAATTTTTCGACTGTCTCAGTGAAAATAAGTCAAAAATTAACAGACGATCAGTATAAGGGTTTTGTGGAGACTTTTG